GTTTGTTTACAGAATACTCAACCTGCCAAATGAAAGATCCTTGAAAATGTTACTAACATACAGCCTTTCCTACAACACTAAAATGAAAACACATGCTACAATTCTTTCTTTAGTCCATACTGTATTATTATATTAACAGAATGGACAGCATCCTGGAGTCTCTAGACCATGATGCATTCAGCAGTGGCTGAGAATAAACTTTATTTAAAAGTACTTTTCTTATTTGACAAAATTTGGAAGTCAGTTATCATATTCATAAATCTGTGGGTAATCTGAAAAATGACAGGGAAGAAAAAAAAAGGGCATAAACAGAAAACAATTTCAGGCCAGTGGGATACCAACTCAGTACAATTACCATTCTTTTGACCCTGGAGATCCTTTGGCAAGAAGCATAAAACAAATTAAATTAAATTTAGCAGTAGTGGTACTTCCCTTTATGATGAGCTGTAAGAAAAACCAGAAGGAATAAAAACAGTTTGAACAGAAGATGTCCTAATGGCTTTCTTTGAGAAGTGGGGTGAGGATATTCTAAAACCCCCAACATATAAGATGGAGTACAAAGTCTTATTTGACAAAAAGCAGAAACTTATTTTTTCACTGTAACACATTTCCATTGAATCTCAACATGAATCAACATGCCCTAAATGAGAAGGAAAAGAAACTGTTCTTTACCATATTAATGATCAGATCATTTCTCATAGCTGTAAAAACCCAGCATCTATGTGGTAATTAATAGGGCTGACAAAAAACCCAAGCTCCTTAAGTAATCCTGGAAGGACATATTGAGCATCTAAAGATAATGACTAGGTTACTAGTAGTATTAATTATTCACAGGAAGTGAGATTTTTAAAACTAGTGCTTTGTCAACAAGCCCTAGATTTTCTACGAAACCCTGAATACGTGGCAGACTGTTCAGACCACATAACTTCAGGGAATCCAACGAGTTTGCTCAAATTAGTGAAGTGGCCTTAGGCTCCCCACTCATCAAGGGAGCCCTCAGAGGACAACTGGAAACAGTAGCCAATTCTGAGCTGCCCTTTGAAGGCTCTGTCAGCTACTCTCACACTAGAATTGTACAAGTCAGGCAGTGTAAACACCTTACCATACCAACAGGAACGGCAGCAAGTGATTTCCTGTACTTGTATCAAAGCATTTAAAAAATTGCAACATACCACATCTGCACCAACAGTGACACATGGTCTTTTACACTGCGTTAGAAAACACAGTGGGTTAAAAAAACTGGAAACAAAAGAATTCAGCACATTCAATCCCTCAAAAGCTCTAACCCTACCAGTAATACTGTTAATACAGTAAGCGTGATGCAGGCACAAAAAGAAACAGTTTAGGTTTACCTCTTTAACTTCATTCCCCAGCAAATCACCATATAACAGTTCACACGGTCTTGGTGATTTTTGATAACAAACCCCAAAACAACAGTGTAGCTGGTCTGCCCTGTTTTCGCTTTCTATCTGTATATCTATCTATCTATCTATCTATCTATCTATCCATAATCTTCTTTCTAACTCCACTGGCTTTTAGTGCTGAGCTGTACTAACAGCTGGATGAAACCATCCTGAAAACCATGACAGAAAGGTCCACAACCCTTAACAAATGTCTGAAATAAATGTCTGAACAAATGTCTACAACACCAGAAACATTTAGTCAACACCGTGTTAATGTGATGATCAGTGATCTTAGATTACTGATAACGCTTTGGCAGTCACACAGGTGAGTTACCTTTCCAGCGCCGAAAAGGCGCTTTTTAAAGCATCTGCATTCAACATGGGGGCCCAGAGAGCGGAGGGCCTGCAGCAGGGCCGGCCCTCAGGCCGCAGGGACAGCTCCCCTCCGCCGCTGCCAAACCTCGGCGCATCTCCGAGGCGGGAGGAGGCGGCGGGGTGCCCAGCCCAGCCGCACGGCGCCTGGAGCCGCGGGCAGCCCCGGGATGCTCCGCGGGCGGGGGCGCGGGAAGGGGGACCCGAGCGGCGGCCCTAAGGACACGTCACCGCTGCCTTCCCTTCCCTTCCCACCGCGCCGCCCGCCGGGAGCCGTAGTTCCGGCGGGGCCCGGCGGGGCCGCGCACACAAAGAGCGGGGGATCGGCTGTGGCGGCCGGGCCTCGCCCCCCGCCCCCTCCCCGCCGTGCCGCGCACTCCTCCCTCCCCCCCCGGCTGCCACGTAACCCCGCCGCCCGCAGGAACTCCGCCGCCGCGACGGGCAGCGCTCCCGGCCCCGCACGGCCTCCCGCCCGCGGCGGCGGGGAAGGGGGACCCGGGTCCCGGCGGTGGCCAGGGCTGCGCCTGTCCAAGCCGAGCCGGGGAGAAGGGCGTTCCACCCGGGGAAGCGGGGATGCGCCGCGGGGAGGCCGCCCGCGGTGGCACTCGCGCGGTGGCGGCGGGGCGGGGGTCGGCTCCGGTCCCCGCGTACAGCGGGTCGGGCGTGGGCCGGCGGGCAGGTGCGCCGGGAGCAGCCGCAGCGTTCCGCCGCAGCCCGCACAGCCTCCCCCGCTGCCGCGGCATCCCCGCGCCCTCCCTCCCCTCCAGCACCGAGAGCCTCCGGTGGAGTGGGAGGAAGCGGGAAGAGGACCCCCGGCGGGGGCGTCGGTGCCGCCTCACCTCGAACATGAGCCCCAGCAGGAAGATCATGGCCATGCAGGACACGATGTCCGCATGGTTCTGCACGATGAACTCGTGGCTCAGCACCGGCGGGTTCTTGTTGCTCTTCTTGCGGATCGCCATGGCGGGCCGGGAGCTGGGCGCCGCCGCCGCCGCCTCCCCGCTGCCAGCACAGCTCCTCTGGCCGCGGCCAGGAAGAGGCGGAGGGGAGGAGGCGGCGCGCAGCCGGGGAACGGCGGCGCCGCCGCTCCGCTTCCCCCGCCCCGCCGCCAGCAGCGCCCCTGCCGGCCGGCGGCGCCTCCAGCGCCCGCCAGTTCAAACCCGCCAAGCCGCGGCGCGGCGTGCCCGGGGCTCGGCAGCGCGGCCGGCAGAGCCGAGCCGGGCCGTGCACCCGGGCGGCAGGGCTGGCAGCGACGGCCGCATACTCGCCTGGGTAGCCCGAAGCCCGCGCTGCGCACCGGCCCAGCAAAAAACCCCAATCCAGTAAGAGAAGGTTCTTGTCAGGATAAAATGATGAACGAAGAGGTCTGAGAAACGAACGCTGATCCAGGCTGAATTCAGAAGTCCCTCGCAAAATTCGTGCTGTCTTTATTTGTTAAAGCTGCTGTTAGGCAGATACTCCCAGTGGATATATGGAAAAAAATATAAAGAAACAGACTAATTTATAGCTGAAATTTAGTGTTGTCAGAATGGCTTTTGCTGCCAGCAGCTTATGTATTAATACAGGGCAAGAAATTAAGGCTTAGCTATTTGGTATTGCCAGAATTGAGTGTGTGCACCAAATTCATTGTGGGAGCTGTTTTAAAAAGGTTGATTTCTTCCAACTGTATAGAGCAGTGACTCATGGAACAGATCAATCTGTGTAAGACCAGGTTTTTCAACTATGAAACACCTTCATCAGCTAGATGCGTAGATGTTCACAGATTTTCTAGGAATTTATAACGAGACAGCTATATTTGGTGTCTGGAGGTGATCTAGGACACTTAAAAATACAGAAAAAGCAACAGAAAAATTTCCCTTCACAGCTGAATATTTATTTAAACAGAAGGAGCATTCATATTTTAGTCCCAAGATGTTCTGCATTCTAGAAACGCCTTAATCCCCTGAGTGTACCAGTATTATGTAAATGTAAAGTAAGCAGGGCCTTATTTCAACAATATCAATGTGAAAGTATATCCCTGATTGCATACAGTATAGTCATGGATGGAATATACTGTACCTGTGAAATACACTGGGTTGGAATAAAAATTGGACTCCATTTTGCAATATAAGTTTGCATCTATTTCCCACCTCAGGCTTAAAAGAAATCAGGTCATCTCATCTCCACAGAACATAACAAAAAGGACTGAAGTGGGACAAGACATGCTTTCCTCAAGTTTTAATCAGCTAGTGTCTCAAGTGCCTGGCTAGATATCCTGTTATACAGGCCCTCAGTTTCAGCTTGGCTGTGTCTTTGTCCTCATGCTACATTGCAAACTGCTACTCTGAAATGGAAAACAAGGCAACCTGTTGCCTCACCTGAGGTTTCCACACCTTCCTGTTATCAGGAGTTTCCTCTTCTGCCACATGAAGTTTTGTATGGCACTTCAGGCAAAATGGGATGGTAAACCCTCAGTCTGCTGCTTGCCATGGATGGATGGTCTACGTTTGCCATGGTTCTTTCCAGGCATCCGTATTTTCCAACACTAGGCTCCAAACTGATCACATTATTTAGGAAGGAAGTTCCCTACAATCTGAGTCAGAAGGAGTTTCTAGCATCTTATCACAGAAGCCACCATCACGTGCATGTGTGTCCCAAAACCTTCCCAACCAAACCAAATACAGCGTTTCAGGTGGCAAGATTGTGGAGACTTCATCAGGAAGCATGTTATGACACAAGACACAAACAGCTTTCTATTTGGGAACCTTTCCTGAATTTAAGCATGCTTAGAGAGAGAACCAAGAACAATATTTTAAAACAAATATAAATAAGCAAATCACCAAGTAACAGAATGGAAAACTTGAAAAAGATGATGATGATATATATATACAATCAAATGCTATATATCATCAAACGTCTAGGTCTTAAATGTAACAAATGATGTTACTTCTCAGGACAGGATCTTGAAATTAGCTGGCATGAAGGTTGGAAACATGGTTTGTGTTTCCTTCTGTCCCCAGCTGTTTAGAAAGTTATCCCAGCAACTGGTATTATTAGCCCTTCTAACCTGTTAAGACAGAAATAGCCCCCTCCCCTCTTTTTATTTGTAACTTTTAATGCATTCTCAACAAATGAACACATTCACGTGAAAGGGCTAATGCCCCTTTTTGTACGTACATGGCATATCTTACATTGTCACCTCTTTAAAATAAACACTCCATTTGACATAACAAGGAGCTTTGAGACTTTTTCAAGATGCCATAGTCAAATATCCTTTATTATACATATATATATATATATATATATATATATATCTTAGTAACAGTGCAATTTCTGCTCTTAATATTCCAAAGACACCATACACAATCATTAATGACTTGTCTGGTTAAACAGCCTTTTTCTTTTTTTGTTTTTGGAAGACATCAGGCATTTGCTGCAGCACAGCACAGAACATGGAGTTTTCTATTTGTGTCCTCTTGCTTTCTTCACTGCCTGCAAGTCCCAACAATTCTTTAAGTGCATTCTAAAGCCATTCCCATGTATTTCAAAATTTACAGTAAAACAGAAGAAAATCATTAAGTGACATTAGATTTCTTCTTTAGCTCAGAAAGGTAATGAGACACCACCTCTTCATACCAGTTTCCTGCTGTCTTAGGTTCTCAGACCTCGTGACAGGAAACTGTCATTTCACTGACAGTTCTGTTGTCTTGAAGCAAAATGACACCATTCAGAGTATGTGAATTATCTTATCTTTTTCAAAAAAGCAGTGATAATTATGTTTTTATGCCCAGCAATGGAAAAAGTAACTATAAATTCATGGAATAGCTGCAGGAAAGTTAATTATTAATGGAAAGAAGTCCATTTGAAAACTGAGTAATTATTCCAAAAGAAATTGAAGGCAAAAAAAAGTTGGTGGGAGGAAGGGATAAAAAGTGTCTGGAAAAATGTAAGTAAATAGAATAGGAAGGAAACCTAGCAGACCTGAGAAAGACCTCAAAATGGCACTGCAGAAAAGTCAAAAGTGAGCATGTGTCATGATGTGGCCAAATTTCAGATCAATGAAGTTTGCAAGAAGCATAATTTTTACAGAAAGTTTTCTTTAGGGGTCTGCCCACTACCTCAGAATATGATTTCAGTTTTGGGTTGCTATTCCTGTTTTGGGTTGCTATTCCTGTGAGTATTTTTGTTTTGGATTTGTCTCAGCTAATCAGAACAACTGCCATCAGCTTCACAATGTCAATTATTAAGACATGCCTGAAGTACCCAAACATATATGCATGTTTCACAAATGAGGGTACAGGACTGAGTGGTCAAAGATTTTCAAGGACATGCATTTGTCCTTGGTATTTTCAAACATCTCAGATCTGCTTTTGTTTTTAAGGCTGAGTAATACTATAGGAAATATATATATATATAATCAAATGTCACACACTTTGAACAGACAAAGTAATGCAAATATTTATGTACTATTCTGCAAGTGGAAGGTTCACAGAGAACAACAGAACTTGCAATTTAAATTAATCTCCAAACATATTTTAATACACTGTACAGTATTTTACAACCAAATACAACTTTTTAGTTAAAGTATTTCTACTTTAAGTGGATTAACAGCAAAATTTCATATGGCGTGTAATACATATCTCAATTTATACAACTTTTTAATCACATTCTTGCAGAATCTTGCAAAGAATTTAAGAGTCTGCTCCAATTCTGTGCATTTTTTGACACTCGTTAGTTAAAATTAATGAATTATTTGTATGAATTCCATAGAAATGGTGTTTCCACCAAAAAAACCCAAAAGTCTACAATTACTTATAGTGTTTGTTAAAACATATTGCACTGAGCAACCAGCAAAGACAAGTACAGTCAGTTGAATTAGAAACGGAACATAAACCCCAGTATTACACCTGTGAGCAAAAAATAACCTGGTTTTTTAGAATGTACAGATAACTTCTTAGAAAATCACTTTTTGAGAACCACAAGCAGATGAAACCAGGTTTAGAATAACGTATTTCCTGGTGTTTTTTTACTAGAGATTTCTTTTACATATGTGATTTATTTGGTTTATAATACTGCTTTAAGATACTATAATATTAAGTTAATAAGATCTTGCTATTTGTCTTTTGCCACCAATGATAAAACTCAGCACTTTATAACAAAGGTAGGATTCAATTCTTCACACTCATTCCATTTTACTAACTCAGTACCCACCAGAGTATTTTAAAATTCCAATAAAGTAGAATGTGAAAAACATCAGTAAACTTAATGTAACATTGCTTTAAAATTGTTACCACTTTTTAAAAAACCAAGTAAAAATTAGTTTTTATTTTACATATAGTCCCAGCTCATTGTTATGATTTTTTCATACAGCAACCATGCAAATGAAATATATTCCTGGGCAATCTTGCCTAATTTATAAATTGTTTTTCCATCTGAAGCTGGGAGTTTCATCACGTACTGTTAAGAAAAAGAAACCAAATTAGTTACAAACCAATACTTAGATTTTATTTATAAACACTAGATTATCCCAATCTTAACCTGTACATGAATATGTATGTCTACACATGACATTTATTATTAAAACTAATGAAATACTTTCCTTCATGGCAGTGTTCAGTTTTAACTGAAGGTGACAAACATTAACTGTTTCACAGTGTAACCTAGCAGTATAAAGAGTGATTAATAAAAAGGTCTTAATAATCCTCTAGTTATTTAAATTTTGGTATATTAAACTTTCTAGATATTAAGAAATCTGAGGTAGTAGAGTGCTTGTTGCATTTTCTAAAATGCATAACCTTTAGATGGAAAAAAGTCTGTGCTCTTAAATTAAGAATAGATAAATTATTTTTATCTCTTCATCAGCTATGATGTGAAACAATGACCAAATTATTTATATCCAACCATGGGATAAAGCTTACACATGTGCATTGTGCCACACTCCTGCTTACAAGACATTATTTCTGTTTCAAGTAACAAGAACAACATTTTTGTTTGAATTAAGAGGCAATGTTGCTCCCAATTGCAGTTATAAAAGATATGCACCGACAAAATCCGCAATCCCTAGTATTGAGTGGGTAATTAATGACTGCAGCAGGCAGCATATGGCCATCATTTGCAGTGAGTAACTCACTTGTAAGGTTGTAATATGCCTGTCACATTCATTATTGATACTGACAAGATGTTCCTTTGGAAAAACGTTTGGAGAAAATTAAGCAAGACAGTGTTATGTCTACAGCTCAAGTCCTCCATAATGAGAATAAAACTTGAGATGCTGCAAAGTCTTGGAAAATGTGGAAAGGGCATCAAAGGATATTAAAATCAAATGAGCAAGTACCATGAGGACACAAGCATTTGAATGCTGCATGCTCAGAATCAACAGAATCAGTCTTCCCCAACAGATGCCCTTAATTTGAACTGAAAAATGGGTAAAGGCCATGTGATGTTAAGCATTTACCATAGGTCTGGGTCTAAGCTTGTATTTAAAAATTCAGCAACCCCAAGTGCTCTGATGAGATTGCTTCTCACTTTGTTTGTGCCCACAAATTCAAGTTTAAAAAACAAACTTCAAAGGGCACATCTTGTCTTCCAGGAAAGCAAGACACATCTGAATCAAGGGCCTTCAAATGGAGTAGGAGAGTCCCAAGAATTATTCTGATTAGCATCTCCTCTAATTATTTAACCTTTCTAATAATTTCAAATAGTTGATACTTCGTGAACAGATACATGACTGCATCTGGTCTCTCTTCAAAACAAAAATGTGATTTCTGAGAAAAACTGAGTTATTTTTGTTCAGTAAACATGAAAAGGGTGGTTTTGAGAAAACAAACCCTTATGTCAAGAGCTCACTCAACCAAATTATTTCCTGGGCATTCAAAATGAAGACACTTTTGTAGGGAAGACTACCTTTAAAGAAAAAGTTAATTTATCCACTATTTGATCTCAACAGAAAAAGCTGTTGCTTGAACTACTTTGTGAGTGAACAGCACCTCATGCCCTTGATGAATCTGGTAGCACAAAATTGGAGAAATGCATAGATCAATGATGTATGTTAATAACCAAAAACTGAGACAATACTTAAAATCTGGTGCAGTAAGTACCATGCTGGTAAAGTTTCCATGGCATTCTGCACAAAATAAGCCCAAAGAGAACATTTTCTATACTTCAGTGATGACTGTATTCATGTAACTCTATTCCATTTTCCTTGATTAAAAAGCAGGTTGTTATCATTACTACAAAAATTCAGTCTCAATTGTTCAGTTAGTACCTAGTAGCCATTCTATCAGTAAGATAAACAGAGGGTCTAAGTTGAAAAAAATACACTAATTTCATGTAGTTATTCAGGTTGGTAAATGGTAAAAATCTGCAACCTCTGTAAATTAATGTAATTATTTACTTACAAATAGACAGTCCTGAGTGCAGTCATGTATTGTACAGGAAGAAATACTTTCCTAAGCTTTAGCTGAGTAACATTTCCACATGCACTAGGCATTACAGAAACAATACTTCGCCTTGTTCACCATGAGTAAAGGCACAGTGCAAAAACACCAAACTAAATACAGCAGCTCTACTTAGGTACTGTACTAATCAGTAATTGCAAAAATTTACACTGCATGATTTTAACCATCTCTGTAACACATGCACACAAAAACAGGCAAAATATTTAGCATGGGCAGAAACTTAAATGTAAACCCATAAAATGCTGCATATGTTCATATTTAGAAAATACAAAAAGGTATAAATGCTAGCATTAGGAATGTATTCTATGGTATGTTTTAAATAAAAATTTAAAGGTATATGCATTGCAGTAATCTGAGCTCTAAGCACTCAAATACTTAGTAAAATATATTCTAAAAGTTTGTGAATACTGTACAACCATTCTGTACATTACTTTAACTTGTCTGATGGACAGCTACTGCAAAAAATTGCATTTTTTTCCCCCTAGAAAATAATGCAATAAAATAATATAAGAAATAGGGCATAGAACATCAAAATGAAAATGACCCTCCTTCCAGAACTTACACACTTTTCCTTCTTTTTCCAGCTTCTTCAAGTGGACTAGGAGGTTATGTTCTGCTGCTGGAAGTAAATTCTCAGGGATTTCCTAATGGGGACAAAAAATATGCATTTTATATTTGTTTAAATACCCATCCATTATTTTTTCAATATATGGAATCCATGGTTTATTACCACAGATTTTCCTCCTCTGAATCAGTATGGGAACATTCAGTGAGTTATGTAACAACAGGAAACTAAGATGAGTAAATCAACTTTACACCAGTTAAATGAGCAGTCTACAACACATTTTTGTTTACTTTGCATTATACATTTGTATTATGAAAATTTTGGCCAGCACTAAAGAAGACTTCTCTTCTGAGCTTGATCTGCCCTGGGTTGTCAGTGTAGCTGAATATTTTTAAAGACAAATTTATGATGCATTTCTCCAGACAACTGTCCCTTCTATTCCATGACAACATTTGCAAAGGTTTAAACAACCTATGGCAATTAGTATCTGTAAACAAATAAACAATAAAAAAAGTAACAGCTTTAGGAGGACAAAATATCTCTTACAATTCTTCAACACTCATTTTTGTAAAAAGCAGTAACACCTGTTGCCCAGAAAAGCTGTGGACTCCCCATCCCTAGAAGGGTTCAAGGACAAGGTGGATGGGGCTTTAGGCAACCTGTGGAAGGTGTCTCTGTGCATGGCAGGGGTGATGGAAATTGCTGACCTTTAATGTCCCTTTTAACCCAAACCATTCTATGATTGTATGACGACTGCTCAAAATCCTCCTCTCCAGTTCTATCATCCTAAAGGTAAAGCTCTTTTTTTTCCTTTTTGAAAATTAAAAAGTTCTTCAAGTAATATGTGTGGCAGGAAAATTCACTAGAAAACTAGTTAAATAAACCGTGAACCTTGAGAATACTTTGAAAGCATATACCTGTTTAAAAATTAAAAAGTTCTTCAAATAATATGCGTGGCAGGAAAATTCACTAGAAAAGTAGTTAAATAAATTGTGAACCTTGAGAATACTTTGAAAGCATATATTTTTTTTGTAGTATCAAGCTGTAGTAGTACTGAAAAAAATCTTATATAGATAGGACAAGTGGTTTGTGATTTACAGAAACATGAGAACGGCTCTATACTTGCAACCTAGTTCATCAGGTAGGAGAACTGCAGAAGCTGAATGGCTATAGGTCATCAGAACTGCAAAATGTTCACTGTGATATAGTAATTCTTTTGGAAACTAGGTATCAGCAGAACCACCAAAAATGAGCTGTGAAGCTGTTCCAGACCAGTTCACAAGCCACAGCCACTGGCAACTTTGACATCTTCCTCCACAGCAGAAATACTGTATCTCTTACCTCTGCTTGTTAGGAGGGCAACCCCACACCACAGGGAAAAAATGAAGAGGTTACATGAAGGATGATGAAGTAGCAACAAAGTATTCTTACACCAGTCTAAAGACACATACAAGCATCCAACATATGAGCTGCAATATCCTTCTCTGTGCAGTGGAACTGCAGTTCACCTGCAACCTACTGATAAATCAAGAACTCAAAGTTTCCAACCATTCTTCAGGAGACCCCAAACACACTTTGGGAAATCCACAACTAACAGTCATGTCATACTTTTCACCTTGAACCAAGCACTACAATTTAATTTTTACTTAGTCTTATTAAACTGCGCCTAAGACTTGGGTAGTTAAACAAGTTTGTAAGAATCATGTGGGCCTCACTCCAATGAAGTGCTTAAACAAGTGCTTAAAGGCACAGTCATAATTGAACCCTGAACAGGCAGAAATATTTTTTTATCCCTTTCGAAGAGCCACCAGGATTTTCACTCAAAGACCATTACTGTCACATACAAGTTTTATGAACCTAATCTCAATTTTCTTTAGTTTGACCTAAAAACTTTTGATCAACAATTACCTTGTATACCATCTTTACAAGCTCCGAGGATGTATATGATTTCCCAGTATTCTTCTGGAAAACATTCAGAATTTGCTGCTCACGTGCAAGTCGGTGAGAAATGTAGTTTTGGATTCTAGTATTTGCATCACGTACTACTGGGCCATGGCCTAAAAATCAAAACACATGTACCAGAGCACGATTACTTACATTTGTAATTAAGTATGCTATTGAATAATTGAAACATTCTTATGTCAACTTTAGTAGACTTAAAAGCCATGAGAAAAACATCTGAATGTCTGTATTACAGTCTGCATCTGCAAAGCATTAAGATGGAAAGGAAGAATTAGGATATTGAAAGTCTGAATGGGGAAAAGGGAATACTTCAGATGGAATAAGGAAAGCAAGGGAAGACTACTTCAGGCCATTAGAAAAAAGGAAAGGAGTTCACTGCTGAACAGATTTAAAAGATGAGATTTAGATTACTGTATTATCTCTATTTGCCCATCTTCCTCTCCCCAAAGATATTGACACTAATGATTTAAACTGATACTGGCCTTTGAACAATAATGGCTGATGCAAATGACTCAGGTACTATTGTCCTGTTAGGGCAAACACCAAGGTGACATCTTTAATTGTGACAGGTAATTTTCCTGAACAAATCTTCAAAACTGATTAATACACTGTATTTTACGCCTTTAAAAACACTGTCATGAGTATGATAAAAAAAATAGAAAACAAATAAGTGAGGTGGTCAGAATGTGTCAGGGCAGGAAAAACCTTTAAAAACACTGTCATGAGCATGATAAAAAAAAATAGAAAACAAGTGAGGTGGTCAGAATGTGTCAGGGCAGGAAAAGTGAAAGGCACAGGCAAATTTATAGGTGGATCACATAACGTCTGGCTGGTTAATAAGCAAAACATATTTTTCCCTGGACTGACTGTGGCAGATCAGAAATGTTCAACTTACTTAAAGGTCTTTGAATCACATTATGAAAAGGCTTACTTGGTAAAGCACTAAACTTTCGAGGAATTGACTTGCACAAACATTCATCACATACTTTTTATAGCAAGGTTTCCTATTTCTTTGCCTGTACAACTCACCTGAAGTAGCAGCAGCAACTTCCAGCTCTGCCCTCTGTGTGCAAACTCTAAGTAATTTATGAAATTAGTAGAAAAGAAACTACTGTATAAAAACATAGCTTTCTTTAAGAAGTTATTTGGTATCATCATAATCAGTTTCTTTTGGGGTTCTCAAACTATTAAAAAAATCACCATAATTCTTTACTTGTACTTTTAGGCTTACTGATTAAACGGGTTTTTAAATTTTAAGCTTTTAAAATCAAAGCTTATTTCACCTGATGACAGGCAGCTTATAGAAAAAGAGCAACTGATTTTTCATGTTTTGAACTAAAGTGTCAAAAGAATCTATCCTTCTGTAAGTCAAAATATTTATACATCTCAACTTACACACTCACTTCAGCATGTCTGAAATTACTAAGTATACATTGAAACTTACCTTGTTTAAGTAAGTATTATAAATAAAATATATGTAATGTGTAAACATAAAGCTATACTGGCATATGCATTTATATTTAATGATTTCAAACATACTTAATATGAAGCTATTTTTCCTTACAAAATAAATTACAAGTATAACAGTATCTCCACTGCTACCATTTATACAAAACTGAAAAAAAAATTTAGAAAAAAACAAAGATATACAAAGCAGAGACTGTAATGTTAACTGTCCATTCTATTGCGTTATCTAATGACCAAAGTCTCACTGAAGTAATCAAAATTAAGGGTTGAACATGGAATCACAAGGCATTCTTAAAACCTGGCCCTATTCTTCCAAGTGATTTAAGTGACTTAGACTACAAGACCAAAGTCAGAACCTGAAATGGAGCCCGCATTCTGCAAAGTTAAAGGGACTTCATATCCATTACACCATCTGATCTGTAGCTGTGGTGTATGCATATATGTACATTAAAATGATCTCAGAAAGCCTGGAACTAAATCCAGATCCAGAACTTTCCCATCCATCATTTTTCAGGGACAGCAGTACAGCTATTTATTTATTAATGAATAAATGGATTAATATCTGAATAAAAGCAAAATGTTTCTGAGCATATGAAAAGCACTCTCAAAATATGACTGCCTTTCCATGAATTCAGCTTTAATTTCAGACAGATTCATATTATTTCCTCATAACACATTGTGAAGTGTGACATTCTCTTCAAATTACAGCACAAAGGACAGAAGTGAAGAATACAATTGGGTCATGAAATCTTCCACAAATTCCTAATGTCGGTACCATTTTTTTCTGTATTACCAAGGAATATTGTTTATTATACAGGATGGGGAGCCCTCTGCTGACTAAAATGCCCTTTTCTTCTCCCAAAGATTCTCATCAAATATTATCTGTAATTAGATATCCTGAGTGTTGTGCCTGAGTCACTCCCACATTAAATTAAAAAAGAAACATAGAAGGGGAAGGATTGACAAAATTCACCTACTGTCAGGTAGCCAGCAGTCAGTTTGTTACCAAAATTCATGCAATTCTGAGGCTACCACATGAGTGCTAAAGCATTGGTGGAGGAAACAGTTCAAGAATTATGAAGACTGATTACTGCAGCACAAGAGTGATTGGCTTATATAGAATGTATTGGTAAAGGAAACTACTTCTGCTGCAGTTACACCCAACAGTACCACCAATTGTTCTGATTAGGCAATAGCACTTTTTGCACAACTGCACGTACATTTTGCGGTGCATGGATGTAAAAAGAAAATTATCTAAGTATTAAGATGGTTTGGAACTATCATCACTGAAAATGCATGATGTCATGGCTTTCTAATTGGAAGTCCAGTAAGAACACAGTTAAAACAGTAACAAACACAAATAAAGAGCACACATGTTCAGCCTTGATGAATGTGTAATCTAGATACAAAACCATTAAGACCAGAGTGAAATACAACAGATAAAATTGATAAACCAAACAGAATTTGACATATATGGGAAGGCAGAAATTCAGTTACAGGAACAGACTGCATTTTGCAGGTATTAAGAAAGAAAAACATTTGGTTGAGATTCTGGAGGCTAAAAATTGGTTAGTTTTAATGGTTAGTTTAGTCAGTTAAGTTGGTTAGTTAAGTCAGTTAAGTCAATAAATATGACCAAGTCACTATTCTGTCTACATCAACCTCCACATCTATGGAATACATAAGAATGCTTTTCTTAAACAGCATTTTTATGCCAAGATCATAAAGGACACATACTTTAAAATAAAGCTATTTTAAGAGTGAACACAAGAGAGTAGGCTAAACATAGATAGCTAAAGGAAAAAGACACAACTGATAACATAGATACAGTAGCTTGTTGAACAAGTACAAGTTGAAGATGAAACTGAAAAAGTTAGAAAAAATGCTGAGATGTAGCTCTGAAAAAGAAAATGAGGAGCTTAAACTGTAGTTACATAATGAATTCTTAAAATGTAGTCTTGTCAAACAGACATGGTATATATGAAAAGTAAATGCATTCCCAATGTTTGAAGAAGAGAGAGGAAAAGAATTATAGGAAATCCATAGAATGAATGAACAGGCAACTTATTTTTAGAACATTTTTGGCCTCCTGGTTCTTGTTCAGATTGAACCTAAATCATTAACTAAAACTACCACTCTACAGTTCTGCAGCTTTCCAAGATGTATTTGTGATTAATCTGTACTGCAAAGGACACACAACTCTCAAATAATATTACTAGGTTACTCACATTGAGAGTGTATGTGGGGATGAAAAGGAACAAAAGAACAACTATTATTTTTTTTCCAGGATAACATTCAAGCACAGGGATAGAGTAATATAAGAAAATTAAATCTGCCACTGAACGATTCCAACAGTGAAAGATTATGGCCCCTGGAGTCTTTGGGCATAGAAGGACAAGACCCACCCTGAAATGGAGAAATTTAAGAAAGATACCCATCACTGAAAATTTTCAAGTTTTGCAAATCATCATGACAAAGTCAGCTCAGCTTATGGCTTATTAAATTGAATTGTTACATCAGGGGTGATGTTTGATTGTAATAATAGTTCTCAAATTCTTAGAGGAGATTTAAAAAAAAATTACACAGTAAAAGAGAGCAGTTAAAATCAAAACCACTTACCTGGATAAATCAAATCTGGTTTCATTTCTAACAACTTTTTCAAAGTTTTCATGTAATCAGACAGATCTTCTATTACTGTTGTTCCTTCCCCTAAAATACAGTCACCGGAAAATACAGCATTTTCTTCTTCTAGATGTAAAATCATATGATCATCAGTGTGTCCTGGTGTATACAAAACTCTGTTCAAATAACAAAAATAAGCATATGTTTTTCATAGAGCATACATACTTCATTTTTGAAGCCAGAACAAATGATGGTAAAATAATATACTTGCAAAGCAGCCCATAACAAGAACAAGAAAAAATTGACCAAAAAAAGCTGAAAAGTTGATGTAAACAGGTATTACTTTGCCTAATCCCAATCCATTTTCTAATACCATCTAGAGAACACCAATCACCTCTAGCATGCTTTTACTTACATGACACACCATAATACAAGTGCATTAAAGGAGCTGACTAGCCATGCAGAATTTCTGTTATAGAGGGCATTATTCTGAAGCTTTAAAAAATAAAATGGACTTGTTATTTCCATATTGAAACACTTGAAGTTCTTGACATACACACTGTACTTTGGAAGGAGGGTAAGGATAATATCTATTCATTTAGAAATTAACTACAAACTTCTGAACCCGACCCAGATAAAGTTCAGTCTCCAAAAATTTATCTTTCCTTGAAAGCCCCATAGCACAGCTGTCAAAAAAAGAGAATCATGGTCTTTCAGCTGTTTTATGTGCAGGTCATTAAACACCTGCACGGTAAGGATTCAGAACCCACAGCTTGGACAAGCAGTGTATGAGCAAGCAGCAAAGGGACAGTGGGTACGTTTATAGGATATGGTAACCTGAGCTGCCAAGGAGCTGCACTGGGGTGTCCTTTCACAGTGATTTCTGAAAAGCAGAAGGACCTTATGCTGAGGCTGATGCAGACTGAAATAACACAACTCCAATCAGCATCACTGCTGACATTCATTAAAACCATCTCGTTAATGGCAGATGCATCACAGCAGTGATCAGGAACTGACAGAGCTGTTGCCAAGGGTGGTGTACAGGGCAAGGCTACACAGCTCCCAGCCAAGGTGATGCAGGGCTGGGAGACCACAAGTGCAGCATCATCTGATGCAATGACTTCCAGCTCCTACTGAATACTGAGCTCAGCAGAAAGCAGGTGAACCATTGCCCTGTGGAGGCAACATCAAAATCAAGTCGATGGGCTCACCTTTGGGACATGGTATCCTTCAGTTCTTGATGAAATTTCACCAGGAAGCCAAACCACTAACATGAAAAAACAGCAGAAAGAGAATGCCAGACAGTGTGTGGAGAGGTGCTACCAGCGTGCCTTGCCCCCTTGCTGTGGCACACCTTGAAAACCTGACACCTGAATTTTGCTAACTAAAATGTAACATGCAAATACTGCTGTCTTGGAACCAGTGCTGGGTCTAGGAGTATCCTTGAGGTGGTTACTGAATTAATCCAGCTGAGAATACACGCTTTTAGTCAACCATAAATTTTGGCTGCATTACCCATGGTGCAACCACCCATAGGGGCTGTGATGTTTGTTATAAATTCTCTTCAGGATCAACAAGGACACCATGTGTCTGGGAACTCCCATGCTTTCTGGTATAAATTAGCCCACTATCTGGTCTCAGAAGAAGACTCCTTCTTTCTCAGAAGAAACCCTTCACTTTGAGGACACACTTCAACAATTCTCCTAATTGTCACAACAAACTTCTCACAGGTGTTGGCTACAAGCCCTGCATTTTTACAACACCCTTCAACAAACTCCCAACTCCCACACCAGCACAGCCAGCCTCTCTGAGCCCTCCAGGCACCATGCTGGGGTGGGGGACTGGTGGAGGCACTGTTGAACCTGAAGGCAGAAAAGGAAGTTGCCTCAGGACCATGCTGTTCCACCTCCAGGGGATTCTCCCTGCCAATCACAACTTCCCTGTCTCCAGTCAGAATGTCTGAGACAAAACTTGCCTATGCCTGGTCCTCCACAATCCCAAACTTCAAAATGTGCTAATCCTTGACTCACTTGGATTGAAATAAAAAAATTATTTTCCATCTCCAAATTTTTGTCCAAACATAGGCCACTTAGGGTAGTGAAAGGTCTTCAGTATGCAATATAAGATGCTTTTTACTTCTATTTTTACACTATTGAAATAAAATGCTTTTGGACAAAACACCTCCTTTTCTTTTTAAATGTTTTTTTCCTTGCAATCAACCAAGTGACATATTCTACAAGTGGGATATAGTTCCCACCTAAAATGAGGAAAACAGGCAAACTTTGTCCTTATAAGAATAATGCCTTGTTAGTGAAAGGAGTCTGAAAACAGAATGGTCAGATCTTTTTATTGTGTGTGTGCTTCCATGAGGCACAGTAGCTTTCTGTTTCACACTCATCCAGACTAACATTATAGACAGTATGCGCCACGGAAAGAAGTCCTCCAAAACTGGCACCCTACCAGAACTTCACAGGTTCAAGGTCTAAAATTTAGCATTTTAAGTACTGAATGTTTTAGAGTCTCCTAGGGATATATTTTTAAAGTAAAAAGAAAAGCATGCTAAATAATCCAGCCAGAATACTACAGACTTCCACAATTTTAACAGTAACTAATTATGTAAGGGTGATGAGAAAGTATGTAAAATCCTATTTGATTTTAATGCAGAAAGTGTTTTTCTAGGGAAATATTGTTAATTTCTCTGCTGAGTCTAAAGACAAAATCCAAAGGCTAATTATTGATAATTCTCATTCATAAAAACAATATCTTTGTATTAACATATCCTGCTGGATCGTGATAGGAAGCCTACACGCGTAAGTGCTGACAAGATTAGGTGTATGGATTGGCAATCATTACAAATTAGGATACATGTACATGTCAAAATTCTGAAGAAAAAGGAACTCGAAGAAATTCATGGTTACCTGAGTGTGGCTCCCTCTGTCTCTATCACATCTCCATCTTTAAGATAAAAATATTTATGTCCTCCTTCTATTGTTTCTTCACAATGAGGGACACGAGGGAGCTTACATATGCGATATTCTGAGTCTAATATTTAAGGAAAGCAAAGAAAATGATGTTTTGAATTCGTCATTAACAAAGGTAATTCCACAGACAGGTTACTTTTTGAATAAGTGCTATTAATTATCACACAGTACAAATACAAAACTAAAAAAACCTAAATTCTGTGAAGTAACTTTATATTTGTAGAGCAGCCTTATTCCAGAGCCAAAACCACAAAACAGTGAAAGCCACTGATCCTGAATACAGCACTCTCTACCAGTGACAAATTTGAAGTTGGGAAAAAAACCTCAAATGAAATTAATAAAGACCAGTAACTATTATATTTTACAAATGTTCCTTCTTGACTCATGAGCCAATTCCCCCAAGTTTTTACAATGCCACTAAGATTTCGGCCCTCATATTTTGCTTCACAGAAGCATCACTCAACATCTGTCTAAAATTGCATGAAGACTTTTTGACCAGCAACCTCTCTCAGCTTTTATCATTCTGAACAGTGCACAAAACGCAAACACCTTGGCTGGAACAGCTACAGATAGCAACCCAGAAAGGCATTCACATCCCTTGCTAGCCTTTACAGCCACATTGATAGGCTGTCAAGACCAAAATCCTCACCAAGACACCAACTGTTTTCAGTAGTGCCCAGGCTTCATTGCAGATAAGCACCTGGCAACTTTACAAAATTAAGCCTGTGACAAAGCTTGTGACAAAGTTCAACAATGTTAAGAATTACCACATTATCCATTCCGCTTATTCTCTTCTCAGATGCCAACACAGAAATGTCTCCTACTGTTTATCAACATGGAATACACATTTTTAGACCAGACTTTACTTGCACACTGCCCTACTGCTTTCCCCTCATGCTCTGAGGCTTACGAATTTGTCAACAACTAAAGGGCTCCTGTAAGGAACTCCAAATGTTACGCACATTTCTTTTTCAAAATTCAAGCCATTTGTTTTTACAAAAGTGAAAATAACAATAAATATATCACTGCTGCCCAAGTAAAACAGAAGCAGTTTTTAAAGTTTTTCTCACATCTCTTAGTACCACACTGATAGTAATCCAGGTTTTCATTATTCACACATAAGAAAAATTCACTATGAAATTATGCACAGGTATTGAAGAAAACCTATAGTACTACAAATATTATATTCAGATTATTCATTGCTCTCAATCTACACACTGCAGCAGAATCATGAAATTGCACGCAGTTTATACAACAATTCCAGAAGAAAAATCCAGCTGATTTGCACAGAAGCATTCAGTTAGTGTTTTTCTTGTCATGTGTTTAATATTTTCAGCAATATCTGAAATCTCTGGCCTACCACTCGGAATGTTTTTGCAGATATCAGGTATTCCACCAGTATGGTCACGATGCCAGTGTGTCACTAAAATTTCTTGAATGGCGATGTTGAAGTCTGACAGTGCCTGCTTTAAACAGCTGATATATTCAGGAATAGCTGGCTCTCCAGTGTCAATAAGGACTCTTCTACACACGGACCACAAAAAAGGGAGGGAGAGAATAAAGAGTGTTCATGTAACAGTCAAGTAATACTAATAAAACATGCCAACAGATAGAAATTTAGCAATAATGGATGTCTCCATATCCAGACACCACCTTTTGCCTCCTGGCATTCCACCCCCGCAGGATAACAATTTAAAAAGTGGAATAAGTAATAATGTCGGCCATACATTCACAACTCCGCGACAAGTGGCAGAAGCCACCGTTTAGTACCTGAGGCACACGCTCGCCTCTCTCACTGAATTCCCGGCCTCAGCCCAAGGGTCGCCCGGACCAGACTCCATATCCCACCCTCCCAAGCCGCCTCCGGGCACCAGCTCTCCAAACGTACGATTTCTTTCCTCTTTTTAGCGCTGACTAAGGGATTTGGGAACAGGCCGGTAGCGGCCTCTCGAGCTGGAGGCAGGCCCAAGCCGCCTCCGGGCACTAGCTCCCCAAACGTAACGCGGTACGGTTTCTTTCCTCCTTTTAGCGCTGACTAAGGGATTTGGGAACAGGCCGGTAGCGGCCTCTCGAGCTGGAGGCAGCCCCAGGCGGGGCCGGGGCAGCGGAGCCCGGGGCGCCGTGCCCTGCCCCGTTCTCCGAGCAGGCTCGGTACCTGTGCCCGGAGCCCACCAGGTACGTGTTGGTGCCCTGCAGGGTCATGGGCCCCGGGTTGCAGCCCAGCACCCGCACCACCCGCGACGAGAGCCGCTCGATGCGTGGCAGCAGCGACACCATCTCTGCAGCGAACGGCCCCGAGCTCCCGGCTCCGCTTCCCTCACGACGCCGCAGCACAGCAGGGCGGAAGCTCTACGGCAAGATAGAAGCTCTGTGGCAGGGCGGAAGCCTCTGCAGCCGTCCTCCGCCTCCCGGGGCCGGCCGGGCGCCTTCCGCCCGCCCGTGGGGCGGCTCCTTCCGTTCCAGGGCGGGCCGGGTGTGCGGCTAAAAGGGGGCTCCTAACGGTGGGTGCTGTGGTGGTCCAGTCTGATGAAGTTCTCCCGCGTGGAGGAGGCCAGTTCTCGGTGGAATTCAGTTCTCTGTGCCGGCTCGGTGCCTCGCTGCTGCCCAGTGAGAGGCATGTCCGTGCTCTGCCGGCTTTTTGCGGAGAAATTTGTTGTAGGAGACAGACGCACTGTCTCTGTATCCCAGGAGCGCGTCTGCTTACAGGGGATGCAGGAACTGCGTGTGCTCCCGCACGGCACATAACAGCTATCTAGGATAAATTAAAAAAAATAATTGGAGAGCTGCTGGAGAGTGTCCAGCAAAGGGCCTCTAAGGGACTGGAGCATCGCTTTTGTGAGGGAAAGCTGAGAGAGCTGGGACTGTCCAGCCTGGAGAAGAACAGGCTCAGGAAAATCTCATCGTGTGTAAAAACCTGAAGAGAGGGAGTGTAGTGGGCAGAGCCAGGCTCTTCACAGGGCAATTGCCTCAGGTCCTGTCATGGTGCCCAGTGCCAGCACCAGAGGCAATGGGCACAAACTGGAACACAGGATGGTCACTCTGAGCATCAGGAAACACTTTGTCACTGTGTGGGTGACCAAGAGCTGGCAGGGGGCCCAAGGAGGTTGTGCAGTTTGCATCCTTGATGATGCTCAAAACTCATCTTGTCAAAGTCCTGGGCACCTGGCTCTAGGTGGCCCTGCTTGAGCTGGGGGCTTCAAACATAAACTCCAGTGGTCCTTCCCCAGCTCAGTCATTCTGTGATTTTGTGAAATTGGGTCACTGTCATCCAAGTAGAAATAATGTGTTTGCAAGCAGCATTCATTGTAGATCCTGCAAGGTGCTGAGATTTACCTGTTTGGCTTTGTGGCTGCTCCTCTGAAGTCCCTGATTAATTGCCTTTCAAGTGACATTGTTAAAAAACAAATAGGGCAGATTTGTTCTCTCCTTAAACTACATATAAATGAAGACTAAACATAATTTAATCCGAAATAAAAGTAGGTAATATTACTGCAGGTAACTTTACTAATATTAGAAATTCAAATATTATCTGGTTGTTTTATACTTACATAGAATCTCATATGGAACCTGTTACAAGGTGATCATAGCAATACAAAGCCACAGCCAGAAACTACCACTGCTGCTGGTAATTCCTATACTTAGGCCTTCAAGCTAATTTCCTTGATTTATCTGAAAAATCTTTTCTTATTTGGGATACCCATTTACTTATTTGAGATATAAAACCACTACATTTATTTTTTATTTTCATGCTCTTTAAAGCATGAACTACAGACAACAGAAGGGATGTTTCAGGTCAAAGGAAAGAAGCTTTTATGTGTGCAGGTATGTTGTTGAAATAATCAAGAAAACCCCATACACAATATTCTAGTGTCTCCCCATATAATTTGCCTGTATGCTCTTTTGTAAGAAACTGTGACTAGACCCAAATTTACCTAATCCTGAGGTACCCTCTTATGCTATTTTTGTAGCATATTTGTATAGCTATTGGTACGTTCATCCTATTTTCAGTCTTCAGGTAAAGTTTAGTTTAGTCATTAGAGAAAGCTACTACATAAGCCAAGTTGTATATTTAATGGTTTTCTATTTTAAAGAAAATTCTGAATGTTTTGAGAGGGTTTCCAAAATTATATTATTTTATATGTCATTGATAACTCAGTTAGGTGGCATTATTTTTAACATCACAAGACCTTCTCCCCCCCCCCAAATTAAGATTTGCTTGGGGAGCTTTAGACTTGTTCTTCAGCGAATACTTGTTACTACTCTTGCTGTCCTGTAGTAAAGCATTTTCTGATGTTAGGCAGGAGCTGTGAATTTGTTTTATCTGTAGGTGGCAGCAATGTTGCCTTTGGAGAGCGAAGTACAGGTTCTCTGATAATTTCCTGCACAAGCCCATCTGTTTAAAAAAATCTGTTGCTTCTCTTATAATACAGAGGTTAATAGGCATGTAGTAAAAGTCCAGCTATCATGCTCTGCTGTGATACAGGAAAAGATGAATGTATACCCTCAAGTTCTTTTGGTTCTCTGACTGTTTTGCGTTGTTAAATTTTTGAGGCGAAAAATGTTCTGAAGCAGGTAAGCTATCAGTAGAAAAACCAAAAACCAGCAGAGTTTCCTAAATAATAAATAAATAAACCTAAATTCAGATTGTTGGTGATATACAGTGATTAATTTTGTAACCATTATGAGATACACAAGACACAGACTGTTATTTCTGAAAATCCAGCAAGGTTCGAATTTTTAGCACTCAAGAAATCTTTGAATATTGGCACTTGGCTTTTTTTTTTTTCCCATTCTAAGTGTAAATATTGAGGATAAATGCCTTTCCACCGTGGCTGTGTAGTAGCTTAGCAGAATAGCACAAGCATGTAGTTCTGCAATAATTAGTCATAATCAATTGAACAGCAGATAGAAAATGTCTTGAAAGACTTATTGTCATAGCTATTGGCACATGAATATCTCAAGATGATTTTTTACTTGCAGAATTTTCTGTTTCATTATATTTTTATTCTTTTTATGTGGTACAAAGATAAGTAAAAAGACCTTAAATCAAAAAGAAGTGAAGCAGATTTTACAGAAGAAAGATCATGGCTGCAAAGTTCCTGCATGGAGGGGCAACACTGTATAGAAAACGTAAAATAGTCAGATCAGTAGGTTTGTAGGAGATGATTTGGGGGGATGATCCAGGGCCTGGTACATTTCCATAATAAGGAAAGGCTGAAAGAGCTGATACTGTCCAGTCTGGAGAAAAGAAGCCTCATCAATGCCTATAAATACCTTAAGGGTCATTCCTACCACATTTGGAAGCAAAAAGAAGGATATATACTGAATACCATAGGACATTTGTCACAATTTAGAATTGTGCTTGCTTTGATGCCAAGTCTAAGCAGAAAACAAATCATCCAGCCAGTAATTTATCTTGTGGATTACTTGATTTACACTCCAAGAATCCAGCACACAAACTTTGCCCCTCCCTCTGTGCCATAGAATTTTGTAATTTTTTTATTATAACAAAGGTCATAGCAGTGAGTTTGTGATTTAGCTGACTTAATGGTCCTTCAAGCAGTGCAAGGACTGTTTAGGACTAGGATGTTTCTAAAGTGTAAGGGAGAAGCAGGAAGGCACACAAAAAGTGATAAGGGTTAATATCATGTTCGTTATGAAGACACTGAGGATTATACCTCCTATCCTAAGAGCTAGAAAAGCTACAGGGTGAGGGTGAGCATAATCCTGTGCAGCGCAGTCACAGAGGCAGGATCACACCTGTGCCTTATACCCTCCATCTGTTTTAAACGTGTGTAAAAATTTAATGTTGAGTAACAACAGCTCAGCTGGAGCAGACTCTTGCAAACATCTGTAGTTTCACCAGAGGAGAACAATTTTAATCACCTGTCTTGGCCACATGCAGTCTCTCATGCATCATTGGGCAGAAGGGATTTCTTTTTGAAGTGCATTGTACTACAGTTTTTAATTATAGCCAAAAATATTGTTCTTTTTGTATAAATCTTTGGGATATATACATGGGTGTACAAATGAATGAATGAATATATATAAGCAAACATATGCATATAATCACACACACATACACTTGTGTTTCCAGAAATATCTATTGACTTTTGCCCAACAAGTCTAATGAACTAAAGTCTAAATTTGAAAATGAATACACAGATACAGAAACATACAGGGGCAAAGTGGTACTTTTTCTTTTTTTTTTTACTTTGAGGAAGTAAATTGTTAAATTATTTTATTGATAATTTATAATCTGTTCAATTTAGTATTTGTTATTAACAGGGACTTCTATACAAACTTTTTAGAATACAATTTTTATAATACAATCATAATAAGGACAGATAGCAAATCATTAACTGTGTCACATGGTTTCCATATGATTTGAGTTTCACTTTGTGTTATATCAGTAAGCTCTTTAATTTCCTTGGATTGTATGTCTTGTAAAGGTATGGATGGGAAAGCCATGAATATGGAAATCTACAGTTTTTGAAGTGAAAAAGACCTCTGTCCATGGCCAGTATTAAGGTAACTGCATTTTAAAATAGAATTCAAAAATATGTAGTAAGACCTGAAGCCTTTCTAATCCAATTTTGTTGTTTCTGTTTTATCACAAAATGATTCTGTATCACAAATTGATTCAGTGTGTTAGTTTTTAGAGGGAGCTTGTATTTATGTTGACTGACAGTTTAATCTTGCTGACTCTGTCATGTTAGGCATCATGTGTTTAATAAGACTGGGGACAATTTAATTCTGATTGATACAAGACACTCTCTCCTGTGGCACTTAATTGAACCCCACCTGGTACTGAGACCATGGTGCTCTTTGGAGTACTATCATGCATAAAATTTAGGGCTATTAAAGGCTGGGATCTTCCACAATGATTTCATGTGCACCTGTGAGCAGGTGTTGGTGCTTGGATTTGGAATTAAGACAATGGACATTTGTGATTACAAATTTGTGAGTCTTGGGCAGAATATTTTTTAGGTTGCCATGAGCAAAATATAAACCATGTTTCTTCTCAGCTGTTCCAAGGCTCTTCCAGGACTGGAATCCTTATTCAAAATAACTGTGAGACAGTGAGCAAGCTGACATGCTTGATAATGTGTGGCTCTTCATTTATCTCAGATAACCTGATGGCTTCAAATAGCACCAAGATGTCCAGACCGGTCTGCAGACTGCTGACATGACAGTAGTTTGGACAGTAGGCTTGTCAGGAGTAGAAATCCCCTGGCTCACAGCTTCTCTTCATGCTGTTATTTCAGAGGAGTCTGCCTGTAAAACTTCCTTTCTCCTAGTCCTCTTTTTGAAGTGCTCATATACAAAAAGGATAGGGAGGCTGTAAAGAGGGAGGAATCCTGTTACCTTTTTTATTCATTTCAGGTGCAAGAGCAGAGGCTACTCCTTGCTGCTTGA